AACTACAAATGTGTCAAATATAATAATAATAAAAATAATAATAATTATGATATTAATAATATGTTTTAAATTTTAGTTGAATTCATTACTATTATTCTGCTGTGAAATATTTGTATCATTTTTGCAACGCAGCGTTCGAAAAAAAGTGGCTGGTATTAATGTAAGAAAGCGAATCAATTTAAGGAAAATTATTTTCCTTTAGATCCCTAATTTAGTCTAAGTGAATGGAGTTTATAACATGCTGAGAAATCGAAGTTAAGATTAAGTTCGGTGAAATTGAAGTGTCACGTCCAGGATGCCGTTCAGTAAAGCATTTATACAAAGTTAGAAACACTACGAACAGTCTGACTTCTACTTGAATTCCAATTACAAGTGGATCGCCGTGGTCGATGTTCCTATTTCGCGATACATATCGGTACAGATAGAAAGAAGCAAGCCGTTTCACGCGTTTCTCGCGGCGATAATACCACGCATCTGAAAGAATTTGCGACTTTTATTGGAATTTTTAAACCGTCGATCTTGACGCGCGATAGAAAGTTTTAGAAAATCGTCTCGCTTCCGCGAACAAATTAATAAAAATAGAACAGTGTAAAGACGCCGACAGAGCTTAGCCACCCGTAAAATTACAAACTTGATGTATGATATCGTAAAATAAGTATTCCTTCTGTAAATAAGTAGAAAAATATTTTATCATCGCATATAATTAAATTTCCACAACTAGACCAGTGTCTGCAAACTGTTTCTGTGATGTTTTCTTAAAGAATGCAGAAGAATTTGCAGTGTCTGAAATCTATAAATACAACATTTTTGTCAACTTTATTTCGATTAACCCAAGATTACATCGTCCTTATTGATTTTGAGTTATTGAATTACTACTGGTTGAATATAACAATTTATTTGAGAAAATATTCTGGCTAAATGAGATATTTATAAAACACTTTTACAGCTGCTAAACTTCAATGAGCAATCTATCAATGAAAATAGATAATTGAATTATTAACATTTTCCAACTTCTTATCCGTGAATGTTAGAATAAAAATTACAATTTCATTTATAGCAGTGAACGCGTCAAAATATCATAATATATGGAAAAATTATATTTAGACTCATAATTATCTCGTTCAGTAACTATGCGGAATGAACATTTGCTTTGGTATTTATTTACTTCTTCGTATATTTTTAATTTAAAAAATATGTCATAAACGAGTTACTGTATGTATAACTTGATTCCTTTCATTATTTATGAACGAGTTAAGTGCCGAGTCAATTTTATTCTCCTTTCCAAACACGCCACGATGGCAAACACTTTTAAAACAAAATGGCGGACCTAGTATGGCGGACAACATTTTAAAAGTTGCATCTACATCGAAGAAAATTGATGTAATGTGGTTTTAGAGGATGCTGATTGCGAATTTGAAGTTAAAATTTAATTGGTTTTTTAACACAAAGTTGCAAATCTGATATCAAGGGTTAAATATAATATTTAATGTATTGTATAACATGATAGTAATAATGCAATATTGTTGGATTTCAGGGACTTTTGTTACAGGTTTTTTTTCAGAACTATAGTTCTCTGTTTTTTGCTAACATGTGGATCACGGCAAAATAATATTTTTACATCTTATCTTTATTTCCTCTAATTGTATCGTTTAAATAAAAGTTCTAGTCAACTGCCACGAACATATTCTGCTGTCTCCCTTTCCAACAAATATGACCGTTAAAATATAAATTATATATAGTTTATATACAAGCCGAAGGTGTATTTATGCTTATCGTTACAAAAATTTGCACAAAAACCAGAAACACACATAGACGCAGTTGATTTTTGTTTATTTTACTAAATAATGTTATAAACCACAATATAGATCACATTTAGCAGGGATCTAGCAAATTTATAACTTCTCTATGTTTCTAAATGTTATAAATGCAAATTTGCACTGATCTATAACAGTGACAATGCCAGTACAAGGAGCGTGAGAAAGTAACTTTCTTTGAAAATTGATAGAGTCGTTCTTGTTTTGGCATGAAAGGATGAAAGGACGCAACGCTTAATGTGTTCCCATCTTTTTGCCGCAGACAGAGAGTTGAAAATATTTAATGTCTTAGGGCAATAAGGAGACAAACTTTACGATACGGGAAAATATCCGTAGAGTCATTTTTAACAGTTAGATTCTTATCTGTAATTTTAGCAGGCCTGCAGCCAATGAACATTAAGGTTCATGAAGAAATCAGCAATTGTCTACGTTAGCTTCAGCCCGGGTATCGTAAAATCGTGTCCCAGAGGGTCTCTTAGAATTGCCCAGACGAAATTTCCTCGAAGTTGCCAAATCATCAAACACCATAGTGACCAAACTCGAAAACCTCGCCTGAGGGCTCACCCTTCGCCGAACATGAAGAGGGAGGGAGGAAGTGGACTAGGTTCAAGAAACTGAATTTAGAAACTTGTAAACAGATTCAGGTAAACCTCTGCAAAAGATAGCAGCTTAATAAATGAATCAGTATCAGCAATGAGTATCACTCCCAAAGCATTGTGTGGTCCTTCGGAAATAGACGGCACGAAGTGCAATATTCGAGAAGGTCTGGATCGTTAGTCTTGGAGGCCTTAACATAATGATAAATTTGTCACAAATGCGATATAAAATGTCATACTGTTGCGAGCACCCTTTGGGTGGTTCCAAAGCCTGCTGGTGCTCGCGACCGAAACAAGAAGACAGCGAGAAGAGGCGATCGGTTCGATCGACTGTCAAGCTGTCAGTTTCGAGCAAGACGCCATCGAGTGCAGACGTTCCGAAGCTACATTTAATTACATTTCTATTGTACACATTTCTATTGTAAAGTTAATTGTTATTTATTAAAGTTCTTGTTTCAGACCGAAACTCAACAATACTACAAATTACCATTTCATTTGCACCATTCGTGCGATGTCTTACAGTAGCGTAAACCCAGTCGAATAGACAATTCCATTATTTTCGAAATTTTCTGATGTTCCGTTTTCCACAGGTGAAAGCGAGGGCGTATCGAGTGGGCGACGATTGAACTTACGCCTGGAAGTGGTTCGCAAATATCAACACCCACGTTCCGAGCTGCTGACACGAACAAATTCTGAAAGAGGGAATCGTGTTTCACAAACAGGGTGAACGACAAGATTCCTTCCGTTGTTCTTGCTCTATAATGCTCCGCTAGTAAAATATTATGTTAGCGCATACAAAATGTTGTTTTACCTGTGTTTGGATTAGTAGGTATATTGATTTTTTATCAGTCGTTCGATATCATATTAAAGAGAAAGAAGTATTGTGTACTGGGATGAAAATCGATGAAATTACGTTATAATGTTTTTATTTTACGAGATATGAGTCGACAAAAGAGGATGGGGTCGATTGAAATATGGTTAAATAGAAACCAGTAAAATAGCTTAAAAATGTCTAATCAAAAACAACAGAACAATATTTAAAATCACTGTGAAAATAGATCTTTAATTTACATTGTAACTATGAATGTCCTAGTTGATTTTAGAATGTTAGATTCTTACGTACAACATTAATTTTTTCTCTGTGAAATTAAATATTTGCAACAACGGTCTTTTCCAAGTAATTTTTCTAAATCTTGTTTTATATTTAAAGATTTTAATATGGTTTTTTAGTGTGTATTATAATTGTTTATTACCTCGATTATATTGTTTCGTTGATTCATATTTGAACTGGACAAATTCGTTTAATAATGTTAGTTGTTGTTAAAGTTGAATATTCAGAAATCAAACTAATTATTTGAACATTATTATCTTTTAGTTACAGCCCAGATAGCACAGGGACGTCTTATGGACGTCCATAGAACGTCCGGTTCTGGACATTTCCAAAACGTTTTCTATACGTTCTCTGTACGTCCATGGGACGTCCGGTGCTATTTGAGATAATAATATTAATTTACAATTGTAAATAGTGTATTTTATATTCGGAAAAAAATATTCTGTTCTACATATTGAATAAATATTATATTACAAATAATATTAATAAATAATATTTATTTTGTTTAAAAAAAAATATTTTTTCCTAAATCCAGAAAGTTCAGAGCGGAGTTCCCTGAGACGTACAGAATTTAGGTCCCATGGACGTTCGCAGGACGACAATGGACGTTACGCGTTTGGACGTAAACTGGACATAAACTGGACGTTCATGTGACGTCCGGTGCTATCTGGGAGATTAGCAACGCCGGCGCCAGACTCGATTGAAAATGCAAAATACTACATAAATGTCACCGGAATACAATCATGGAGGCCTAATTAGTTCTTTCGACAACAAATATCACAGATAGCATTCGTGGTCCAGATAATTTCCATTTAGAAGCTTATTTTTTTGTTTACAAAGGAAATGTTTCTTTCAGAGAATTAGAGTTACCTGGGACAACCTTACCTGGTTGTTTACTTCCTTTGGTCAGAGCTCTATACCAACATCATCATATTATAAATAAATTGTAGTGTTGATTTGTGTATTAACAAAAAAAAAGAAAGACCATTTATAATGGTTATGTCGTGTTTTTCGCGATACGGGCGAGGTTAAGGACGCGGGTTCCGTACGGCGCGGTTAAAATCAAATTGAAGGAGGGATGCAGGAGAAGATCATTTTAAAATGAGTTAGTATAGTTATTTTTATTACGAGAAATATTAGTTATAACGTTTTACCAGACATCCGGCCTTTCAACAACCGTATGGATACCTGTGTAATTAAAACCACAAGTGTTGCATATTATTATGCTCAGATTGATATACTATACGTGGCTTTAATTTGAAACCGTTTATGGTTGGGAAATCACACAAAAAAGTATTGGATTGAGAAATACTTCCTTCCGCATCGTATCTTCTTTGGGGAAAAATATTTCCCATCGCAACAGCTATCAAAATTACACTGGAAAAATTGTTTACTTAAAAATTACCCTAATTTTTTTAAAAAAAAGGTAATAGAAAGTTTATCAGTGTGATAGGCGAAGATTATCAACAACGATTATAGTGTAAATAAAATTGTATTAAGCATTAAATAAAATAAAATTTTGTACAGTATCAAACAACGACATTACTTATGGATACCCCTTATCTATTAATGATTCGAAACGGAACGAAAACGCAATGTTCACGGATTACTCTGTACGCTATCAACCTTTGTATTTTAAAGGCTGACGAGGACGGAAGACGTGAAAATGAAGTTGCAAGAGGCCGGATATCGTCGAATATGCTGCCTTCGTCGACTCTCGCAATTCAGAGTTTCGTGTCATCGAACGATCTCTCGCGATTATCGATACTATTGACTTGCAACGATAAATGCAATTTACGTGAGATTTGTATTTGCCTACACAGCGTGTCCTCGAATTACGCGAATTCATAAATACGTAGCTCAGCTCCAAGTTACATAATTATATTTATATTTTGTTTTTATATATTTACATGTTACATCAAGTTTTCGTTTCTCCCATACTTCTCTTAAAGAAGCATGTATAGAACCGTTGAACTGTAATTAAATAATAAAATTAATCGTAAGATCGATGCGTTGAATATGATTTGGATTTTATTAGACATCCTTGTCATCCTTGCATAGTTCGACTTCTTTTAATACTATCGGATGACACACGCTAGAGGCCATAATATCTAGGCAATCGTCTAATGCGTGGCATCATTCAATTCACTCATCTCTTCAAGCTCAGTATTCCAGTCATTCAACACTTAAATACATAAAATATTATGGATATACTTTTATCAAGCTGAATTTTTGTAGATATTTTAATTAAGTGTAAAATATTCGACAATCGGTTCCTTCCAGATATTTCAAAAACTATTGTTTACTGCATAGATAATTATTATGCAAAATAAGAATAAGGAACTTTTCCACAAAAGAAGTATGTTACCATTTTTAATATAAATACATAATTTAATATAAATATATAATTTAATTTAATATATAACTTAATATAAATTTAATTTATATTTAATATGATGCATAAATCGCATTTGATATTCAAAATCAATGATAATGTGGGAAAGCGTGCAATAATAAATTTTACAAATCGAGTTAAAAAATTTCACGTTAAATATAATTATTGACTGTTTAAAGATAATATAACATAACTGTTTTGTATAGAATTTTCTTATTTTTATTTTTAACGGTAACCATTTTTTGCGATATACGATACAACAATTTTTGAGATGTCTACAAACAGCTGATCATGGAATATTTTACACGTGCCCCGAACCCACTAAATTAGAATACACGGAACTTCATATGATTTTCAAAGCAACAAGTTCCTAAAAATAAAAATTGTTAAACACTGCCATTGAACTTAGAAAAGGGAATTTCTCCATCTTTTATTCGCAAAAAGCATTCGTATTAATTATGGTAGCAAGGTGCATATTGCTGTATTTCTTTTTAATCAAACATTTTTAAAACTTCATGTATAACGATTAATGATAAATAATTACAATTTTTATAGCATTTGTAAATTTGAGTAGAATACTACATATTTCACCATGTCGAAAGAAGTGTAATTGGTGCGTAGGACCACAAAAATGGCAGATAGTAACGAAGACAGCGGAAGTGATACCAATGTGTAAGTTTAAGATCTATCCCATTAAAAAAATATTGAAACATTACTGAATTAAACTAGATAAAATTATTTAATGCTAATAAAAGTGTACAATTATTAGATAATTCTGATAGTTTTTTTCGTACTAATAATTTGAATGTTAACGTAAATTTGCTGCAAAAATTCTTGATTATGGAAGAAGTACAACGAAAGGACAAAAATATAGTCTTGCAAAATTTATCAACATAAAAACGAAAGGAATCGTTTTAATAAAAATTATTTAAACGAATACAAACAGTAGGTACTGCAATAAATTTAAAAACTTTAGCGACAGTAAACAATTTTAATTATATATTTCAGTCGTTTGTTCAACGCAAACCTAATGAAATATTGTTTGTTTTCTTATTTTGTATTCTATGTATAAATTTATTTACAAACAAATTCTATTTGTTTCCATTGTCTTAAGTATTAAATAAAATTGAGTGCTAATCACTTATCGTTCTATTATGTGAAAATTCTGTTATCCGAACACTTTTGTCCCCCAATTAGTTCACATAATAGAGATGCTACAATATATGCAAAAGATCAGCTTGACAAAAATATTTATAGAACCATATCTAAAGTGACTGGATTATAAGCTACTATCTCAGGTATATCTTATCAAAATTAATACAAAGTTCGACTTAAATAGAAAGCTCCAGAGCAAATTAATCGCACAAGTCGAGAGCTCACTTTATATCTCATTTCTGGGGAATCCTCTTTTTCCTTTAACGAAGAATCATCCTCGACAGGAAACGAGTTGCAAAGGATTATCAACGATCGATCTTAGAGATCCACTCGGTCGATACTCTTCGTTAAAACGTTATACCGCGTGTCGAGTCTGTAGAGGCGCGTTGGTAATACGCATAATCGGAGTATTGAACTAGTAGCGCCGCTGATACGCGATGTATCGTTGTCGTTTAACGTCCACGATAACATCACTGTTCAAAACTGTAGAGCACTAGTATGTCGACCTCTTCTTCTGTCGCAACGAGGTCGTGGCGCGGAAGGTGGCATTAGTTACCTGCCGGCGATCATGCGCGTTATTCGAAATTATGTGCGACAGCGCACGAATTTGCGATAAGCAACTGATACGTAAAAACACGAAGTCCATTCGCACGTACGAACTATGTCGTGTAATTTATCGTGTGCTTTCATCGTGTATGACATAATTCGGCTTTCGGCCACGATACGCAATAAATTAATTCTATTCGAGCGCGTCCATAATTTTTCTTATTTTATTTTGTTGCGCTAACCCCTTGCCATACCATTTAATTTGGGACCTTGCATAGTCGGATATAATATCGCTAGTACACTTCCACGACATGGCTGACTCGTACCCTTCATGTTTGGCTCGAAATCCGTACCACGAGTCTCACGCGTTGTTGTAGGTCAAGGGGCGAAAACTGGTCTCATTAGGGTACGATATTTCGAGTACACCGGTGGGCTAGAATCGTTTTGTAGTTTCCACCGAATCGTTCTTCCAAGTTATTTCATAAGATCCTTAGATTAGAATTGCAATATTTGGTTGATCCATTCACGGAACTCGGAGATTCGAGTGTAAACCCCTGGCTGGTTCGGCACAGCGCAACCTATCCCCCAGCTGATCACTCCAGCAAGGATCCACCGTTTGTCCCGCGCCCTCTGGATCACCATTGGCCCTCCACTGTCGCCCTGCAAGAAAATAGAAAGCTTTTATTATTAACGTAAACCAGTGAACGTTTACTCCAACTTAAAATATTAATTAACTAGCTGGTATCGCGAATAAAAAAAAATGTTTAGAACTAGTGTTTTGAAAAAGTCTCATAGTTAGCTTTCACAGTGCATGATAAAAAGTGAGGTGTTCCGTTACAAAAAATCATGTTGACCTTGACATGACTTTGACCGGTCCTTTGAAGGTCAAACGGACACGATCATTTAATAAAATTTTTGAAACCCGAAAACATTTCTCTAAACCATTTTTCTCACAAATGTTCCATTTTGGAAATATTTGACTGTTTCCATACTTTTGAAGCACCCTGTATATATACATGTATTATATACGCATAAATATAATAATAATAATATATGCATATATATCTATTTCCGTTTACCTATTCACTCATAAATTTATATTCTCCGATCTAGATTGCGTTATTGAGTTAAGTTTTCTTAAAAAAAAAAAAACTAAAAAACTATTGGACCGAATTAGAACAAAATCTAATCAGTTCTAAGTTAGATTGATACACATCGATTGCATCATCGATCATTTTGATCTCGCTATTAGTTTTTTAGAAAACGTTAACGAAAAATTTGTTTACATACGTACATACATACATACGCGCGCGCGCATTATTAATTTTGTAACTATCTGAGAATATAATTTTATTTTTACTTCTTCTTTTAGTTAAAGTTTTGATTAATAACGCGCAGACGTATTATTAATTTGGAAATCACTTAGAATCTTTTATTTTTTCACTTTTCCTTCTAAAAAAGGAAAATATACCATTTCTAAAGAAATTGATAACGTCATACGCGACGTTTGCGCGTTTGTTGCGCGTTACTTTGCAGAATCGAAATTTCGCTCGATATTCCGTGTGTACATCGAGTTCAAGAAAGGCACATACCTCGCAAGAGTCGAATCCGCCGTTTTTCCAACCGGCGCAAATAAAAATGTGAGGGATGTGTTCGATGTATCCCGCGTTTCTGTACATGCCCTCGCACATTGTATTATTAATGACTGGTACAGCGACCTCTTGAAGCGTGGACGGCAATGGCCCCTCTGGAAATGATATCTTAATCAGCATGTTTCCTATATCAGGCTAGATCACCTTACTATTAGTAATATCGCCCAATTTGTAAGTGTCAATTTTGATAAAAGTCTGCATACAGCTAAAGTTTTCAATAATATTCAAAATATACTATTCTTCTAGTAGTTCAAAATTCTTTGAGTATTTAAAAAAGAAAAATGAAATTGGTAGACAACTTAGTAAATATAATATCAATTTCAAGGAAGTACTAAAAGCGAAAATGTTGAAACTTTGGCATAATATAAGGAAAGATGTAACTGTTCGTTAACAAAACACAACAAGATTAGTAAGTCATAAAATTCTATATTTATATACGAATGTACTAGTAACTCAATCCTTGGAATATTATTATGGCACCCGTTTGTTCGATGTTACAAAAAAATATTTCTTAAAAACTGTTTACGTTTTCAAAGCCATTTTAAATTTAATATAAATAATCATAACACTTATGCGCTATTAGAAAAGTGAAATTGTTTAGAAATTTCTAATATTTCTCACATTTTTTAAATGTCAACTCTTTCATTTGGAAACATCCGAATATTTTTGCGATTCACTGTATACGAAAAGTGACATCAAACTCTACGTGACACAATTGGCTGGATTTTCTTGTCAAATAATTAATAAAAAAATCTATGATTACCGTCATAAAGTCTACCCCAGCCAGTGACATAAGCCGTGCGTCCGACATAGGACTCGTCATCGTCCGGCAGACAAATCGGCAAAACGTTCGGTTGGAATGGCAACAGTGGCTCGTAAAATCTTAACAGAGCGAGGTCGTATTCGAACGTTCGGGGATCAAATTGCGGATGACTAGCGACAATTTGAACTCTTCTCTCTTGGTATCCGTACGGCTCGTCTTCGTTTGCGAGATCATGTTCACCGATCCTCAACAACAGGTCGCTTGGCGGTACGCTGTGAATCGTTAAGAAAGAAAATACGTTAGAAATGCACGTAACGGAAAATGAGGACTTGTACAAACATATGTAATGAGTTCAGTTAACGTAACCGGTGTCAACACTTCAAGAAAGTTATAAGAATTAATAACCAAGATTAATAATATCAAAAAAGACACGTTTCCTAAGGTAGACTATGCGATTCCTGTTCGCACCCTATTACCCTGTATAATACGAACTTAAAATTTGGTACCAAATTTGTTGAAATGGAATTCGGGATAGGACAAATGCTTGGTTTTTATAACTAATTGACACAGATCAACCGTTTAATATTTAACACACCATATACACTCTTGTCCTTTTTGTACAAGAAGTAACATGTAGTATAGTACAGTATGGTGACAATAAGCGCGGTAAATTCAACCTACTGAACGTTTACTTCAACAAAATTTCCGTGGATGCGTAGGTAACATATGAAAGTCACTAACCTTTTTTTAAATAGTATCATATTTTTTTGACTACGCTAGCCTTCTGTATAATACGAATTTAAAATTTGGTACCAAATTTCCAAAAGTACCAAATATTCTGATATTAGTAGGCTTCCCATTGGTGGACGCGTAGGTAACATATGAAAGTCACTAACCTTTTTTTAAAATATTTACTATTAAATATTTTTTATTACATTAGTCGATATAGTTTGATATTTTCTACAAAAATGTATCAATCTTTATACAGGGTGTCTATATATATAATTATAAATTATATATATTATATAATTTAGATAAAATATATTAATATAATTTATATTATAATATATTTAATTGTTGAGCGTAGGCTACGCGATAGCCGGCCGTACGGCTCATACGCTACCGCGAGCGCTCCATCAGCATCCTCGCGCTCTGATTGATCAGTGTTTTCCGTTAATATCTCTTCAACGAAACCTCTGACAACATTTTCGCTACGGAAAAAGTTGTTTCAAATCACCTCCCGAACCACTTCTTTCAAGGTGTTACAACATTTTTGCGACACCCTGTATATTTTATTTTTTTCTTTGAATTATACGAAATATTCAGTTATACGATAAGTACTGTAAGCAATTTATCAAATACTCGCATAGTCGTCTGAATTTGTTAGTTCGTTCGAGCGAAAATGTCACGAAGCGCGAAGGATTAATAATTTGATAAGCAAAGAAGATAACGAACGAGATTCTCGTCTAACAAGAAATCATATCGATGGAGAATCACTGCAATGACAAACATTATACCCACTTTTCCACGCAATGCGCTGCGGTTATGGCCCAATTTTCGTTGAGCAAAGCTGCGCCGCACTTGTGCAGATACGTAGACGTTCTCCATTGTCGTAACGAGATCTGAAAAGAAAACATTCATCTCCTTTAACGAAGAACGATGCTTGGTCGTGCTTGACGATCGGCGTGTCGATTGTCGAGACTCGAGACGCGATTGGAAATCCCAAGAATAGAATGTGGAACGGTACCGTTCCTTCTATGTATTAGGTTGTTACACTCGAAACACTAAATTTTCTGAGGGAATTGTAACCTTCTCTTTTTTGTATTAAATGAACTTTCTTAACACGTTCGTTATTACCATTTCATATAGGATAATGGAGGGTAACCCTAGCCATTACAAAAAAAAATAAACTTCTTACTATTTTATCATATCTTTTTTGACGTCTCGTAAGTATTACATCGCTAGTATTACATTAGGCCTGCGAGATTATTTGCACTTGATTGGCTTTGAACATGAGAAATGGAACTAAGTTTTGACAAAAATAAATTTTGCGATAATCAATTTTGTAAGTGATTATAAAATATGTTAGAAATTATGTATTCTACCTTATATATTGAAAATCTATTCAACTTCGTGTGTTTCCTTGTGTTTGGTCAATCTATTCGGAGTATGTGATTGGGTTTATAAAAATAGTGAAGTCGGTTAGCACTGGCCACTACTTTCGTGGATTGAACGGGTTATAGAATAGAACGTGATCATTGTTAATTATGTACCAACAGATTTGGTGCACATCTTCCAAAGTGAACATCATTAAAGGTACAAGTGCACTTACTCAATTATTATGAAAATCTAGTTTTGGAGTGTCTGAAGCGTCTTTGATTCATGTTCTATATTCGAATATTTTCTTTCTGAGGTGATTTAAATATTCAATGGAGTGAATCCGGTTGGTAACAAGTTGTAAATATTTTCAATAATGAATAAAAAATAGACAATTGATTTTTCGTTTCTCGTTAACTAGAAATAAAAATTTAAATGTTAGAATGAAGAATTACGATAAAGAAATACAAATCTATGTGTTTAATCGAATAAACATTAGGAATAAATTACGTTGGTTTCGTACATTATCTTTTATTAGAATAAACTTTTGCACATCTCTGTTTGGAAGTAACGGAAGAACGTAGCAACAGTGCCTGGAGTTCCTGACATGCTTAACAGATGACGCTAGGAATAAATATATCGACTTTTAAAGTTTGTGTTTTATGGTTAGTCGTAGTTACGAAATAAATGAAAATAATTTAGATTAAATTAACACTTTTTAATTTTGTATACACTTCTATTTTATTTACTTCCATTTATATCTTTTGCCTCAACTTGAAATTCAAATGGCAAATTGTATGAGATAATGCGAGTTATGTATTCGTTGCACATATTAATTTCATGTTTTATCCTACCTCATTCAATGTTGCAATTAATCTCGCTGAAGGAGTTAAAAATAATTTAGGTTTCTTACTCTATCCTTGTACATAAAATTGTTCATTTACTATAGTGACAAAATTTAAATCTACTAAATTAAGTACATAAAAGAGTATCATGATAGTCTCCCAAATAAAAGTAACGCCATTAATTCTTATAAAAATTAACAGCTCTAATAGGGATTTTAAATCAAGAATGTGTTATATATAATAAAATTCATGATATATCATGAAAATAACAAACACATAATTAAATTTAATTGCAATATTTGTAGGTTTCGAAGTCTATAATAAATACGTCCCAAAGCAAGTAGCCGCTATATTAATTATGTTTGTCTTCTACTCATAAAACTTTCTGTTATTCGTTATTTTTCACCCCCGGAATCCCTTAATAGGTACGGATGAACAAGATTGTCTCCATTTCAACGGCCACGTGTGGTGAAAAAAAGTTAAGAAGTTCATTGTATTGTACTCACCTGCCATGGCCATTTTCCAAAAGAACTGCGACTGCCACCAACGATTCGAGACTCTGGGAACAATCTTCTTCCGCACACTGCAAGAATAAGAATCGTTGAGTTCAAGCCTTTCAAAAAATTACCATATCTTGCTGCGACCGCCATGTTGGAGAACAAGCATTGTACGCATCCGTCGGACCGGACGAACCGGTATCCTTAAAAGCGCGACATATAAACGTCGTCGTTTTTCCTAGCAACTCTAATTGATTTTGCGGTCGATTCGTGCACGCAATTCACATTTTTAGTTAGGAAATTCGGAATCTCGTTCAGTATACTGTTTTGGCAATTTAGCTTCGCTAAATTAGTAATATAGTATCACAATTACGAGAATGTATATATATTTATAACATTAATAAGGAGTTTTGAATTTAAAATTTTTATTTTTTAAAACTAAACGTCTGATGATTGAACTGTACATATTTGAAAGTTTCATCTTCTCATTCTTTATAAGAATTGTTTTAACGAATTTGAAATTTCGCGGGACGCTTAAACTACGATCGCGATCTTGTTCGAATGAAACCGTTCCCGCAGTCGAAGAGTTAATTATGAGCTCAACTAGTACATTTTTTAACAAATATGAAAGTGAACAATATTTTTTTTTAATTGAAATTGTATACGTGTTATGTACAATATGTGTTAACAATGTACACTATCTTTTTATTATTATGGGAAGTGAAAGTATACATGAAATGTTTGTTATGGAATTAAGTAAAGATAGATTTGTAAAATGACACATTGTACGTCGCCATGTTGTTTGACGTTCGTGACTACGTCAGACTCCTCGATGGAGAGTAATAATCGATCCGACGGAAAATGATTTGTTTTCATTTACGTAACCACGCTCGTTGATTATTTCTATCTTGCTTCCGTAAACCATGCAATGAGATTTTTATAATTGACGCGAGTAACACTCTGTTTTCTGCATTATCGATACTAGTTGTTTAGTAATATGTTCAGTAAAGTGTTCAGAGATTTGTTCAGTCTGATTCGATTGCTGTTTAAATAAAACGCTTCGCATGTACTACATCAGCAGGACTAATCAATTTTACACGGTAAGAACCAATGTTTGTTAATTTAAATACAAGCGTTGGTAAACATAACATTTCTATTAGTATAGGAATTAAGTTTACTTATGAAATACAACCGATATGTCGTAGATTATGTATTCCTATTTATCTTTAAATCCAAATTTCTCGTATTAATTTTGCTACACTACTATATGAAATTGTTGGCACATATCCAAGCAAAAATTATCGTATAAGTAAATAAAGCTTAGTATATCATAATACGTGATTCATTTTTCAGTTGTTGATTGAAATATCAAAGACACCAAGGGAAGAAGAAGATGAACAGTGGGAAAACCTGTACAGGTCCCTATCATAATTTTTAAATTTGGATGCACCGTATATTGAGTAATTATTCAGTAATATGTGTTATTCAGACATTCTTCGTTGTATTAATTCAATTTTATAGTGGCCAGAAGAGCTTCTGAATATCATGCTTCAATTCTCCAGTTTTAGATTTCTTCAGCTTGAATAAAACATGCATTATATCATTCATGTAACCAAATTTATAATTTTTTAAACCTAAGCTTCAATTCTAATGATGAGGAATTTTACGATTACTAAAATATAAGAGTCGAGACATCATAATAAATACTAAATAATAACGATTGCGCTGAGACTAACAAACATTGATCCATATTACTTTATAGACATAAACTTAATAATTGATAATTTTGTATAATACAGTCACCTTGCTTGTAATCGGACATGTTCAGTGTTTCCATTGGAACCGGAAGTTCTGTGTCTATCGTTACGCTAGCGATCGTTGACAGAGTCGTCAATATAGTAGGCCTCTTCGTGATGTACTCCGTGACTGTTTCTGTTGCAGGTTTAGCTAAAACAAATCACAATTTCATTGTAAAATTCAAAATGAAAATTGTGCGAAAGCATTTAAACATGTACAAATTTCTCTCTGTCTTAGTTACTTGATGCATAATATTGATTTGCCCGAAAAGTTTGAGCCGATTTTGTAGGAAATTTCGAACGTAGCACATTACCATAAATGTTTATATAGATTTATTGAATTATATACAGGGTGGTCCACGCAATTGTTTCAAGTCATAACTCCGTTATTATTGCATTTACGAAAAAATGCCAAAGGAGAAAGATAAATGGTTCGAAGAGGCTACATAAAATACTCGTGAATACCGGTTTTCCATCTTTTCAATATTTCTGCTAATTCACGTGTCGTATAGGTTATTCCCGATCAATGTTTTAAAGTGACCTTTATCAGTGACGTTGGATCTATTCTAGTGTTCTTAATCGTCTAGCATAAATTCTTTCTTTTTATACTAAGCAAAGCATTTCCACACATACTTTGTTTGCTGGTTGTGTGATATTTTTGCCTTTTCAGGAAAAAGAGATTCCTTCTATATTTAAGAGCATATAAAACTGACGAAAATTAATATATTTTAACTAAAATCTTTTCTAAAGATCCTTGAAATATCATCTTTTAGAATATGTATAGATGCCATTTGTTTTCAATCATTTGAAAAATTCATTCCATTTCTGAAAATCGGCACGAACTTTCCAGACAACCTATTATGATTAATCGCAACGTATAAAATAAAAAGTTTAGAAAAATAAGTTTGTTGCAGTAAGTAGTAATATCGTACTGGAAGTCGAAGGCTGTAATGTGGATTCTGGGATCGGTTTTAGCGTGGTCTCTTCAGAAGTCTGAGGTGGTTTTTTAGTGGTGAGCGATTGAATCATGATCCAACCGTCTGGAGTGGTGAGGGGTGTCCATTCGCTTTCGGTTTGATCTGGAATATATTGAAAAAGACATTCGTTATCGACGAGCGAATCAAATTGTACAATCACCAATCAGTTCGCGATTCACAAACGTGTTGGCACGAAACGAAATAAACAAAAAAATTTGACAATCTCAATCAAACTTTCTGTCTCGCAATCAGAGTAAGAACTATTTCATATAAGATAGGTATAACAATTTCTTACATTATATATTTTAATATGAATATATAAATAGTAATGGTTATATGCAATATAATTATTTATTTTCTTTGTTATAATTATGAATTTCCTAATTATAATTTTACAAGAGACCATTACCATTTACCTAAAAAATATATATCGTATGAAATTCACATACTGAAGACCATATGCATTCGTTATTAATAAAAATTCTAAACCAAAATAAATTGTTCTGAACACTGTGGAAAACGTACGTGAGGAGATACTGTTATAATATTTTTTAAAAAGAGTTTATTTCTATTAAATTCTTTCTAATTCTGTCAATTTCGCTCTCTCTGTAGTTATGCGTAACAGTATAATAGAAAAAAACATTAATAATGAACTGTAAACTAAGAATCAATATTTATAAACAAATACCAAACAAATTTTTATATAAACTATTATCTAAATTTAAAGTTCTTTGATAGAGTTCCTGTATAAAGATAAAACAAACTCATATTTTTAATCAATGAGTATGTATTCAATTTCAAATATAACGTTTTTCACTTCCAGGAGGTGCAGGATCTTTACGGTAAAAATTTTTATAATTTTATGAGAAATTGCATTTTTGGTAAATTATAGAATTCTCCGTTCAAGAGAATGTATCTGAAATTGAAGAAATAGCTATTAGTTAGAGATACGAATTCGTTAAATAATTAATTTTAATTATCCACTTATCAAGATATTATTTGAGCTCATCTTCTTTTGATATTAACACACACATTATTGTTTCGTTTCTTTGTAAGCGTGATATAAAGAGAAATTTGGTTTTCTAGTAAAAATTAATAGTTTTAATGAGCAATTAAACTTACATTTATTAGACACAAAAGTTATCGACCGTTCACTGAGGTCTTCCTCTAACAACGAATTTAATATAAATAATTACAAACAATATACAGAGGAACTTGATAATCATAAAATTGAAAAATAAACGGAAAGATGAATTTTAACACGATTAAAGTTTACTTACTTTTTACTGATATTCATTCGTATCTAATAACTGTCAGTTTCATCGCCTATAAAAACTACTGATTTCTATTAACAATTTATTTCCATCCGAGCATGATGAATAAAAAGAAGAAAGAATTAATTTCAATACAAGTTTACGATTCAACGAATATTCCTAATCTTATAATCTCTGGATACATTTCATTCATCTTCATATTTCTGAAAATGATCGCAAACCGTAACATTGAAACATATCAGCGCCTTCGTTAGGATTATTAGATTTGTCTTCGTCCAACCTATCCACTCTACCATTTATTACGAAATTAGAAAAAAAAAAGTCGGAAGCTTATTCCCGGCGGAAACTGGAGCGAAGTGCAGTTATTGGAAAATAATTCGAGTCGTTTAAATTACAACGGAAAAGAGGCGGAGAAGGGAAGAGTGAATGTTGGTTCGTGAAGCATTCGAGAGGAAAGATTACGGTGGACGGTTTAAACCGTTACAGCGTTCCGCGCGCAACAGAATTTCATCTCTCATCGATACAGGTGGGGAGGAGGGGGGGGGGGCGGGCGGGCAACGCAACCTTTGCTTCTCTAATGGAAACACCCGTTTCGGAACTCGATTAACGCGACCTACAGAAATTCTATCTCACGCTTCTGTCGCACGTGCGCCACGAACGCAATTATTCAGCGTAAGGACATACGTATGAAAATACAGCCTATACAAAAAAGTACCATTTACAGGTTCACTCGCTGCAGATTTTAATTATGAAGACGTAGCCGTTTACATCAAATAGATTGATCAAAACAGGGTGTCCCATGTAACACATTTCACGATTTTTCAAGAACTTGCGATAATCTGATACAAAAATATTTTGAATAAACGTTGATCGTTTTCCGATTGGCTCTAGATTGCAATAAAAAAAAGTTCGAAAAGAAATTTTTGTTTAGTATTGTCAAGGTTACCTTTATTATTTTAAATAGCACTTTGTATTTTTGACTTAAGATTATTATAGTCCGTGTCAAGACGAATTCAACGACCAAGTGTAATATGACCTTGTGGTTAAAAAATGGTTACGGATGATTTTCGAGACCACCTCCAGAAAAGGAGTTTCGTGGTAATCAAGGTTTCTCCGGACTGGATTATCCAAAATCAAAAAACAATAAGGATTTAGTTAATATAAGGTACAATCTCGTATTCAATGGAAGGAATAAACGAAATATCACGTTTGAACCAAATGACGATTTCTCAAACAAAAATTTGCAAGATAAAAAGTGTCTTAAATTGTTTATAAAATGAATATTATTGATCGAATGGAAAGAAACATTCGATTAAGAACTAAAGAATAAAGTTGTATGACTTGAGTTGAAATTTGAGCCTGATTGGTCCAGTTGTTCTCGAGATAACTTCATCACCGATTGAAAAATATAATTTTGAGAGAAACGGATTTAAAGTTTCAAATATAGGTTAAATCTAATAAAAAAGAAACTAGTATTTGTCGAATCGCCGTAAATTTTGTTTAGATACGCTCAAGATTACGTACAAAAATGCAAAAACTGGAAAATAGATTTTTTGAAAATCCTGAATAGCTATAACCCCCTTTAAATGAAAGATTTAATATTTAAATAATATGAAATTAAAAGTCAATTTTATTTCTGTATTAACAAATAAGTATCGTGAGTAAATTATTGCCTTGTAGCTGTACCCTATCTACATTATGTATCTTTATATTGTTATTCCTATTTTTGAAAACTGCCATATTTCAAATTAACACAGCTGGTTTGGGCCTATTTTCTCGCGGAGGGGAGCAGAGTGCAAATTCAACTTTTGAATTGCCTGTCAAGTACAGTAAAAAGATTCACCTTTAACGGCTCATAACTTCTGAACCAGTGGATTTCTCGCCTGAAAACTAGCATTTTCTGATTTCACTCGCCGAAATTTACAGGTTTATGTAAAAAAAAACTTGCAAATTTTAGGTCCGCCAAAGTAAAGTTTAACCTGTGGAAGAATCACTCTTGAATCCTTTATCGCAGCAATGGGCAAGCCCATTTCGGTTTGTCTGCGAAGGCGTTCTTCGCAAGCACAGTATTTCTGTGTTGGATCATCCACCATACTCGCCTGATCTAGTCTCCTGTGACATTTTCTTATTTCCAAAGGTCGAATTGAAGCGAAGAGGGATAACATTTGAGAGCATGGAATTGGTCAAAGCAGAAACGTTGGAGGCTTTCAACAAGCTAACGCAAGAAGACATCCAGCATTGCTTTACACATTGGAAAAATCGGATGGAGCGGTGCGAGGATTGTCTAGAGGAATATATATTTAAAGCGATCAAATTTCAATTGTAACTGGCGACTAATAAAAAGTTTGATGACATTAGTTCGGTTATTTGATAACCATTCCTCGTATTATCCAAAGAACATGGCTTACACCCGGAAGCTTTAGAATACTTTCGTGGCTTACTGTACGTTTCTGATCAATGTGTGTTAATCGTCTGGGCATGTACATGTATCCGCGATCACGTTTGTCGTTCGCGGAAATTGTGAACGCAATATTGAGAATAACGAAGGCTTGATTGTCCCTTTGTTATCAGAGCGCGAACAATCCATTTCGAGATTAAATGCTCTTTACGGCGAGGAACCTGTCGCGAGTAATTACGGTGTTCAATGTCGAAGTCCCAGAACAATGTTATATAGGATGTTTCAAACTACACGGTCTGTCTAAAAAGAAACCGAATTTTTGCTATTAAAAGAAAAAAATTTATTTACTCAAAATAATCTCCCTCTGCGCCAATACAGCGTGTAGACCGCGTAATTAACATTTCGAAGGACCTTTGCAGCTCCTGTTTTGGTAGCCCGTTTAGTACAGCGGTTACAGCGGCCTGAATCTTCGAATCGTTGCTATATGATCCAAGGTAACAATGCCAATTCCAATGAAAGGGACACATTATAGCAATATATCGCAAAACTAACACTCTTTTCACCTCATACGTTCTTTCTATAATACCTAATCTAATATTGCTTTAATGTGTCCCGACCATTCACCCTACTCGCCTGATCTGTCTCCTTGCGATTATTTTCTTTTCCCAAAATTGAAAATTCTAATGAAAGGGACACATTATAGCAACATTTCAGAGATTCAGGCCGCTGTAACCGCTGTACTAAACGGTCTACCAAAACAGGAGCTGCAAAGGTCCTTCGAAATGTTAATTACGCGGTCTACACGCTGTATTGACGCAGAGGGAGATTATTTTGAATAAATAAACGCGTATGTAAAAGCTTTACTTGTATTTTTTTCTTTTAATAGCAAAAGTTCGGTATCTTTATAGACAGACCACGTATGTGGTGCACACTACAGATTGACAACATTTCATTCGAATTGCTTTTAATTCGTCCTCCATAAAGTGGAAGTTCATTCTATACTTCAAATTCTTATCTCTATTTAACGAATGAGAAATAACGATAATTTGAAACTTTCGACGCGATACAAGATTTGTATTTTACAAGATGGTGAATACTCGGATACTCTGGAAAAAAGAACTTTTAATTCAAAAATAGATACCCACACAAGGACTTTTCATTCCATAATAAAGTTGAATAAATGTTTTTTGTTCTGCGATGTTGTTGACAGAATGTAAGGACAATTATGTTGTTAACATTTTTAGAGCATTCGTAGACGAAGTTTAATTTGACGTTTTGACCTTAATTTTGCGCCCTTATTGAAATATTATTTGAGAAGATATGCAATTTGCATTGCTGTGTTTTCAGTTGATACTTTGATATATTAGAACACAAAAACACATTTCTAATTAACCTCTCTTTGATCTTTGTTTTTGATACATTGAATTTTCAGATGAATTATATTGTTATTGCATTATCAGTTTGCATTTTTTAAGAATTATTCTTGAAGGTTGGCATACCAATCGTAACCATGTTTGATTACAATTATCATCTTTGATAGCCATGTTTGTTGCGATTTTGCAAAACAATGATAAAACATTTATCGTTAAATAAATTTCAATTCTACATTCAATAAGTTTTTGCAATTTCATTATATTTGCAACATGACCAAATCGATGAGCATTAAATAATAGAAATAATGTTTATTACATTTAGTTTCAAGCACGAAATAATGAATCGGGTTTGTAAGTTGTATTCATTGAAAATGTGTTTATACATTAGAATATAAGAAAATATCGTTTTAAGTCATATCAATGTGAAAGGTCGAGACAACGAAATAAATATAGTGCATAAGTGCTACGGAATTAATAAAGTTTGGATATATTGTTCTGAATATTTAATATCATTAATTCAAAATAAATATTAAACGAAATTAATAATTAAAGTAAAAGAATATTTCAAGCTTCTGACTAAATCAAATGCTTACATGTCGTTCAGAGTGAGATATAATAACTATGCTTACTATTTAAAATTGTATACTTTCGATTTACGTTGTAGAGAGAAATTACTTTGAAACATCATGCATTGTTGTCTAAAGGTAGAAATGGAGTTGTCTTTAGAAATGATATTCTTATTTTTTTAATCTAGAAGCGGGAGAACGTTTCAAATATAATTGAATCAAATAATAAATGAATGATAATCAATTGCATTGTATTAAAAAATCAATTAGTTTCAAATTTTTTTATTGCAGAAGAATATTTTTTAAATTTGCAACCTTTATAAAAAAATGTTGCACCTTATAATAAATCTTGTTTGAATAAACTATACATCATACTCTTTTATACAACATTTATAAAAAGTTGTTGTATCTAATATTGTTCTTGTTTGAATAAAATATGGATCATACTTGTTTCTGTAATTCCTACAAACACAATTGTTATATCTTAATATTGTTTTTGCTTGAATATAATATGCATCATATCTTTTTATACGTATAACCAAACATATAAATCTGAAACCTTAATTTCAGTTTTACATCCTGCAAAACTGTCATCTAACGAAAAGACAAATCTAAGAATCAAAATATCTTCATGAATATTACACAAAAATGTTTGTACCGAGGCTGATAAATATTAATAATTATTATTAAATGATTTACTGCGTATTTTGGAACATCGTACACTATCGTCTACAGATACAAATCGCGTTGTCATTTTGAACAACGATATTCATATTTTTAAATCTTGAAGCAAGGAAATTTTGACGAACTGATTAAAAGTGCAGGTGAAAGCGCGAGGAAGGTGGATTCGCGCGTAATCAATCAAACTCAACGGGAGCTTTCGCGGTTCTCTCGATGATAGTTAATGCAGGAGGTGTGCCCATCGACGTGAATTGCTGCCGAGATGATTTCCTATTGACGACAAAAGCGTCACGTTACACAATGGACATCCGTTTTCTTTGATTTCACCTTTTCCGCGGGAACAGTTTTCGTTTCGCATGCGTATGAGGAATGCAAATTAAACCGACTGGCCGCGTCCGAAATAGTCGTCGATTAATTTATGAATTATGCAGGCCCAATCGCATAATTTGATCGCCTTGACGATTTCCGGACCTTAGCGTACGAATTCAAATGTTCTTTTCGTCTTAGACAATTTCCTTTAGAAAAAGGAATATTATAAAAACTGCCATTTTCTGATTCCACTCGCCGAAATTTACAGGTTTATGTAAAAAAAAACTTGCAAATTTTAGGTTCGCCAAAGTAAAGTTTAACCTGTGGAAGAATCACTCTTGAATCCTTTATCGCAGCAATGGGCAAGCCCATTTCGGTTTGTCTGCGAAGGCGTTCTTCGCAAGCACAGTATTTCTGTGTTGGATCATCCACCATACTCGCCTGATCTAGTCTCCTGTGACTTTTTCTTATTTCCAAAGGTCGAATTGAAGCGAAGAGGGATAACATTTGAGAGCATGGAATTGGTCAAAGCAGAAACGTTGGAGGCTTTCAACAAGCTAACGCAAGAAGACATCCAGCACTGCTTCGCACACTAGCAAAATCGGATGGAGCGTTGCGAGGATTGTCTAGAGGAATGTACAGGGTGTTCAAAAAAAGCATTCAATATTTATATTGTGTATAGGGCGTGTTGTACCGAGTAAAAAAGCTGTAGTAAACATAGGTCCAAAGGTCAACCGTTTCTGAGATATAAACATTTTTGTTTGCTAGTATCATGATCGACTTACTACTGGGTTTTCAATATTTATAGAAGATTTTCCACGTGTCCACCGCACATTTCTGTACATGAAATTGAAAAAATGAAATTAACGAAATTGTCGGCACTTGAATAAGAACATTCGGAACGCAATTTATAAACACTGACATAAACATCGCATGCGATGAAAGCAAGAGAGTCAATCATGATACTAGTAAACAAAAATGTTTGTATCTCAGAAACGGTTGACCTTTGGACCTATGTTTACTACAGCTTTTTTACTCGGTACAATACGCCCTATACACCATATAAATATTGAATGCTTTTTTTTTTTAACACGCTGTATATTTGAAGCGATCAAATTTCAATTGTAATTGGTGACGAATAAAAAGCTTCATCGCATAAGTTCGGTTATTTGATAGGCATACCTTGTATTATTCAAAGAACATGGCTCACACCCGTCGAAATTTATAGGCTTACATAAGAAAAACTTGCAAATTTCAGGTCCACCAAAGTAAAGTTTAACTATAAATGTAACATCTGGTGTGAAACTACTCACCCATCGGAGTGGTGGTCGTGGAAGAAATTTCTGGCGTTTTCGTAGTCGCATCATCGGAACTCGACGTCCAAGTAACGAGTCCAGGCGAGTGCGTCGTCGGTGGGTTCTCTTCCAGGGTCTGATTGGCAATCGGCGCCTTCGTTATTGCGACGTACGCAGACGTAGTCGTTTCAGAGGAAGTCCCAGACGTTTGATCGGTTTCCGCTATGGTAGAACTCGAAACGGTCGAAGAGGTCGTAGTAGCAGGTCTGCTGGTAGGTTTACTCAACGGTTTCGTGGGTTTCGTGGGCTTTGTAGACTCCAGTGTTGGTTTGGGCTTGGTGACGGCAACGGTCGATGCATCGATCGTCGATAGAAGTATCGTTTTTTCAGTAGTGGTCGTGTATTCTGGTCGGGACACCGGTTTCGTGGTCGTTGTGCTGATCTTCGTCGGCTTCGGCCTCGACGTGGTCGTCGTCTGGGGCTTGGATGTTGTGGAGGTAGTTCTCACGGTCGTAGGTTTGATTTTCTGAACAGGTCGCGTCGTGACAGGCGTGGTAGGTTTCGAAAGGACGGACGAAGGGGTCGAGGATTTCGTCCCGGTCGAGGACGATGTGCTTTCGCTGGTGGTACCAATGTTTGGTTGGATTTTGACGGTCGTCGTTGAGAACGGCTTCGTCGTTGTCACGGACAACGTGGTACCAAAACTAGAACTCACGAATGGTTTGGCAGTAGTGACGGGTCTCTTCGTGTGCGAAGTCGGTTTCTTCGTGGTGCTTGTTGGCCTTTTCGTGCTAGAGCTGATTGTTGGTTTCTTGGTACTGCTAATGGGTCGTCTGGTTGTAGGCTGAGTCGATGGTTTCGCAGTCGTCGTGTTTCTTGGCGGGAATCTGGTCGCTGGGACGGTCCTCTGGGTGGTCGTAAACACCGTTCTCGAAGTTGTCGACTCGGTTGTTCTTTCGGTGCTAGATTGGGGAGGTCTGAGCGTGGTCGTTTCCAAAGGTTTGTGGATAGTCGTGTAGGTCGGTTTATGCGTCGCTGGACGCGTCGGTTTATGAGACACGGACGAGTGAATTGGCTTCTTGGTGATCGGCTTTGTCGTTTGAGCGATTGTTTGTGTGGTAGATGGTACTTTTGTCACGGTTTCCAATGTCGTCGGCCTCTGCGTGATCGAAACGGTCGATACGGGCTTATTCGTGGCACTGATGGTTTCCGTCGTCGTGACAGATGTTTTTTGTGAGAGCTGAACAGTACCGCTGGTGATTCTGAGCGGACTTTCCGTGGTCGAATCCTCCTTCGAAACATTTTGCACGGTTTGAAAGGTCGATAACCGAACCGGTTTCGTGGTCGTTTCGACTGTTGCGAGTATCGGTTTCTTCGTTACGAGTTTCGTCGTTTCCTTTATCGTCGTCGAAGCTGTGTTACTGTTCTGCGTGGTGTAAAAGTTGATCGTTTCCTAAACATTCACGGAAAGGAAGATGATTATTTTTATTGAAAAATTGCGCTCGTTTGCTGCAGAGCTGTATCCGGAGTTGAGTAAAAGTAAGTTCTCGGAAAGAACATTATCGACTCCTTATAACTCTTCGAGGCACGCGATTCAAGAGAAAAATAAAACTTAAGCTGAACAGCTGCTTTAAAATCGATTCGCAAGTAAATATTGTTTTGGCTTGTGTATACTCCATTAAAGCAAACAAAATTCATTTAAGATTCGTCCCTCGAGAGGTTAACGATATTGTAAAACGAGTATTTAAAAAAATTGTTTATTAGCTAAAAGAATTTTTATTTAATACCTCGAATGTTTTCCATTTATTGTTCGATTTTGGAATGATTCTATTATGCGTTCAAAATGACGATTTCGTACTTCTAAATATTTATTAGCTCGCGCGGATTAGTCCTAGCACCATTAACCCTTTGCGCTCGAGTGGCGCCTCTAGGGCGACACATGTAACTTAAAAGTGATTTTTGAACGTACAATTTCAATTTTACTTATATCAAAATACAACTAGTTATTAATCGAAATAATGCACATTGAGTCATGAATGTTTCTAGATGTTTCTTTTCGAAGAAGAGTTATTCGTTTTACAGAAATTTATTATAAAAATGGACTCGATTTGATTGAAAGGGTTCATAAAAATCATTATAAACAAAAATATTGTTATATATCCAAAGACTGATGCAGTAGTTTCGAGAAGTAATTTCAGAAAAAAATGCAATTTTTCAAGGTATCAAGGGGGGAGGGAGGGGGTTTACCCCTCAGCAAACTAGGCAACTTTCTGTGGCAAGTTTCTCGACTAACGGTGAACCGAACCCGAGAACTGAGCGAAGCCTGAATAAATACGAAATAAGCGATCCACTTGCCTGAGTGGTATGCGTTGCAGGTGGTTTCTTCTCGTTGATCGGCTTCGGCCTTGAGAAGTACTCAGGTATGTCGTTGCTCTCGATAGGCCCGCTGGTTGTGACGAACGGCCTTGCTGGCGGCCCGTCGTCGATGCTGTTGTCCTGAGGAAAAGTGTCAGGCTCGTCGTCGATCTTGCAGCAGCTACCGAAGTAGAAGCGATCGATGCAGGTGCCGAGGTGCGTGCCGTTCGCCTTCGCGCATGTGAACGCGAACATGCAAACGCCGGTTTCGCCGGTTCTGCGTGACACGCACGGTAAGTTCCTAATGTTCCTTCCTGTACCTGCGGAGAAAACAGAGGCTGTAAAATGGTGCAAGAGTAATTCTTTAACGTCCCATTCATTGGCACATTGGTAATTGAACATTAATTTATATCGTTGTATCTAATAAAATAAGTATATACACCGATCAATTTCCCAAAAAACTTTTATGTGAAATTGTAGTTTCATAACTTCTTTTTTTATAATCAATGATATTTTACATATCCTCGGAAGTCTCTAAGATAGATATAGTCCAAACAATATTTACTAGTTAATATAATTTGTGAAATTAACAAAAAAAATGCGAAAAGTTAGAAGAGTTACAGTAATTATAAAATGAAAAGGAAATATTATATACTTATAATATTCTGTTTGAAGGAAGTATCATATACTTATAGATTAATGTAAATTTCTCTTCTTTTTTTAATGAAATTTTAAAAATTAAACAGTTGTGCGAATACTTATGGCTTTAACATTTCTATCGATTCATTGTTCTTCTTTTTTGTTAATTTCGTAACTAATTTATAAAAAATAAGTTCATAAATTACATATTTACATAGTTTTTTTGGAAATTGATCGGTGTACGAATACTTTCTACATCCACTGTAAGTATTATTATAATCTGGGTATTCGCGATATCATCAAAGAGACTTCAAAACACCATAATGGGTATTTGAGTACAAAGAAACTGTTACTGACAATATAACAGAATTAATTTATATTATAGGGAAATCGAGATAGTTTCATCTGTATTAACATGAATTTAATGTAATAGCACAACGAAACAGAAATTCTTAATATCGGGTTATCGAGTTTTAGCGTACGGTTCGGATTTGGATCAGTAGATTCTGTAGCACGCCTTTCTATTATTTACGTGGCTTAACATTAGTACCGCTATATTGAAACTGCTCGACATTCCAACAAGTTTGTGTATTGTGAAATTTGGAAAGAAACGAATTCCTTTCAACTAGACTGTTAGAACAATCGGTAACAAAATGTTATAAAAGTTAAGCGACGTTAAACTGTAAACTGCTCGTCATACAGTGGTTGCAGTACGATAGAGAAAAACACTTTCATAATTTTTAGATAACTGCAATTTTTCTTATTCTTAACATTTTTTTCTGATAATTGAATTAGTCATTGAATTCTGCATGACATACCTATGATGTTGAAAAATATACATGAGGAAAATTTATATCAATTTACAGTTACAAAGAAGGGCACTAGATTTGTTAATTCCTTTGATTCATCGCACACTTCTCAAAGTATTAAGAAGCTACTATCTTAGGTTCACGAAAAAAAAAGATTTGTAACTTAAAAATAGATTATTTTAATTAAAAATAGACTAAACAGATTATTAAGACATAGCTCTGCTGTATATATTGTAAAACTGAGGAGTCAAAGAGATTGCCTTTGGATGGAATTACGATTACATAATTTAATGATTAATAGCATTTAGAAACTATTCTATTTAATTTATCATTTCTGATTTCTTAATTTCGTTTTTGTAGTGTTCAACTTTGCTATTCGATATTGTAATCAATTTTTCTATAAAAATGTAAAAAACATAGATTTCATTGTACATTTTAATAACAAATATTATATGTTTTTCTGTTGTTATTATGTGTTCTTCTTATTTTGTAATACCGTAATGCGTGTGATATACATATAACAGCTGATAAGCACAGTTTCGTTTACAATCATGCATCTTTGGTTAAAATTGTCTCCCATTTCTCAGATATGCATGAAAATGTCCTCTCGCACTCAAAGGATTAAATATAAAAGTCGAGTATACGGCTACGCATTTGTATAAATTAAATAACAGACTAACTAACTAACCTCATGATGTCAATTTAAATACTCAAATTGTTGACCAACTTTGCAATACGGTTTCCTTTGCAAAATGAGCTCTGTTATTTTCATTTTACATTCAGGTAGACTCGAAGCAACTTAAACTTGACCGTGGTTAATGTAACTTTATTGATAAAAATCTTCGATATAATGGTAAACAGGATGTCGATTGTTTTAAAATGATCAATGCGTTGTCTCCCCTTAAATCGCACTAGATTATAAATCGTTCAAAGTTTGGACGGGTCACAAATAATCTCCCCGATTATTTCTTCTCCGATAGGAAGTAATAAATATTGGATGCGAATCTTATCGTTCCTCTAGAGATATGTAATAAATATTCTCAGCAGATTATAAAGTCCAGTTAAAATACGTTTTTCAAGGAAAGATTTCACGTTTTGAATGGACCAAAAAAATGGAAAAAGGTCAAATGACAAAGACAAATGATTCGAAAGGTACTATACAGGGTGTCCCAAAAGTCGAGGAGGAGCCGGAAATGGGGGGTAGCTGAGACAATTCTGAACAACAATTTCCTTTGCAAAAATGTCGGATGGGGCTTCGT